ACAGGCGTGAGCCACTGCACCCGGCCCCATAAATGGTATTTTTTAATTAAATGCATTAGCAGTTATTTACATATCTACGCAAATTTGTAGCTTTATTGTAAAATATATACATGGAATTAGGCCAGAATCACGTTGTGAACCGTAGGGTGTTCCTTGGAGAATCCAGAGCTCCGTTACCTCCCACTTCTCTGCTGTCTCTTTCATGTCAGCCTATGCCGCAAACTCACCAGCGTTCATATTTTTGCAAGTTACCTTTCTAGCTGAACTCTCCCAGGTCACAGGACCCCTAAGCATCCCAGCATTTTTTTCACAGCAACCCTAAGCCAAAAGAAATGCCTAATGGTTCTGTTTATTTAGTAATTAGATCCAAAAAAATCTTGGTAAGTATGTATGTTCTAACAACCAATTAACCATTTGAAAAAAAAAATACATGTAAGTTGAAAGAAAAAGATTTCCTTTCATTCCACAGCCGACACAGCTCCTCGCTGATGGGATGTGCACCTGCTGGCTGACACACAGCTTCTCTCTTGGTCGGATCAGCTGCTGCCACCCTGATTTCCCATTTCACACTGATTTTCCGGTCTGCTTGACTTTTACCACAGAAGCCACTTAAAAAAAAACAGCTTTACAAAGATAGGAAGTTATCGGAAGGAATACAGGGTAACCTAATGGTAAAAGTACATTGTGTTTAGTTCATGCAAAGGTTGAGCATCACTAGGCTCTCTCAGAGACTTAAAATATGCCTCAGGGCACTGGTGAGCTCACGGTAGCACTCCAGGGGCCTCAGAACACGGCTTGGGAGCCAGAGGATTAATAGGTCCCTAGGGACCACAGGGAAAAAAAATCTAAAAGCTTTATATGTGTACAGACAGTCACTGGGAGGGTACACTATACACACAAAGAGGCACCCACAGAAAATGTGTCTCTGGAGTCAGTAACAAAGAGGCTAGGATATGGGGAAGAGAGGGGAAAAAAACTTAATTTTCACCAAACAGCCCTTTATAACTTCTCAATTTTAAGCTTTACCCACGAGGTACATATTGGAAAAAATTTTAATTCTAAATATTTTTAACGTATAGAATTTAAATGATTTTTCAATTACCAATCATTGTGGTTGCTGGTTTAAAAAAAATGGAAGCAAAAGCTAGAGCTGAGGTCATTTGACTTGAATGAACATCAAAGTGATGTGGAGGAAGAGTGATTTGCCACTGAGGGGCAAGGTGGTACTCAGGACAGGGGGCAGCCATTGGCACCAGCCAGTGGCCTCAGCTTCCCTTATAAAATCAATTGCAGGTTGCAACCAAATAATTCAGTGGCTTCAATGTCACTGTTGAGCCAACGGAAAAGGAATTATTTATTCACAGTCATCAAATGAATGGGAAGAAAACACCTCCATCCAAGACAAAGCATTGGCCACCTACAGCTGTTCCATGAAGCAGAAGAAGAAGCATCACAACTTCATTTCAGTACCAGTGAAACAGCACCTCCTAGTCATAACATAACAGAGAAACTGCAAGACAGCTCTGAGTTATCCTCCTCTCCAGGAGAACCCACCCCAGCATCCCTTTGAGGGGAGTCTGTGGCAGAGGCTACCAGCTGCCTCGTGACACCCGCTGTCCCCTGCTTCCTAATCAGAGACCCCAAACTTTACTCAGCGAAGGCAGCTGGTGGGCTTTCCAGCCTCCTGTGCAGTGAGGTATGGCCACATGACCAAGATCTGGCAGAGAGGCGTAAACTGACTGGGGCTCTGTGAGAAGGCCGACAAAAGCAAGGTGACTCTGCTGGGAGATTAGACGACTTTCTCCTCCCCCTTTCCTCTTTCATGCTTTCCAGAATCAGGATGCAATGGCTGGCATTCCAGTAGCCATTTTGGACCGTGAGGTGACCATGAGTTGGGAAATCACGGGCCAGGATGGAGGGGAAGCCGGAATGTGGGAAGAGGCTAGGTCCCTGGAAAACATGAGGCCACCATGTCACCCCACACACTATTTCCCAGCATCCTCCACATGACAGCAAAATAAGCATCTATCTTGTTTAAAGTTACCATAATCAGTTGGGCACAGTGGCTCACACCTGTAATCCCAGCACTCTGGGAGGCCAAGGCAGGCAGCCCAGGAGTTCGAGACCAGCCTGGCAACATGGCAGAACCCTGTCTCCACCGAAAAACACAAAAATTAGCTGGGCATGGTGGCGCATGCCTGTGGTCCCGGCTACTCAGGAGGCTGAGGTGGGATGATGGCGCTAACCCAGAAGGCGGCTGAGTTTGCAGTGAGCCATGATTGTGCCACCGCATTCCAACCTGAACAACCTATTGAGACGCTGTCTCAAAAATAAATAAATAAAGCTACCAGTGTTTTTAAGTTTTCTGTTACACAAACCAGATGTAATCCTAATACACAGCCCATCACTGAAAGTGATGTACAGGTCACATCAGCTCAGAGGGCTGGGACCAACGTGACAAGACAAAAGTCCCTGTCCAGGAGACGAGCTGAGTGGCTTTAAATCAGAGCTTGCAAAAAAATGAAGAGTTCCTGGCCAGGCCCAGCAGCTCGCACATGTAATCCCAGCACTTCGGGAGACCTCAAGGTCTTTAGGGAAGAAGACACAAAAGCTAAAGGCCAAGGTCAGCTAACTTCTTCATTCAACCAAAGAAAATAATAAAAATTAACAACGGTAAGTCAAAATGTTCAGTTATGTCTGCTTTCAAGAAGATCCTGCTGATGTCACTTAATTCAAACGAAATCACATGATCTATATTAGTAAAAAGAGCTGGATGACTCATAACCAAAGCATCAGAAGGTATTCAGTAGTTTCAGCTTTGGGTTTCAGGCTAGCCTGGTTTGGGTTTGGTTGGTTAAATTGGGTTGTGGACCAAAGGCAGGTTGAGAAGTAAGGAAGACTGGCCAGGGCAGAAAAGCCAACTGCAGAGAAGCCTCACACAGAAAAGCATGAGCTGGGAAGCAGGGGAGACGGTAAGCCTGGATCCCGCACAGAGCGACCGAGAACCAAGCCGGGAAAGAAGCTCAGCTCCACAACAGTCTTCAATGGCTTCACTTTTCAAATAATTAATGTGTCTTTTCATCACAATAACATGCTTGTTATACAAAAAGCTTAAATATAGATAAGCAAAAAGACGAAAATCAGAATCACTTCCATTCTATGACCGGGAAAGACCTACTATCAACAGTTGGAATATTCTTCTCGATTCTTCCAATTCCCAGGTATGTATGTACATGTATGAATGTGTATGTAGAAGCGTGTGCACACACAGATATACATGCGTGCACACATACGCATACGTCTGTTCTCTATACACATGTGTATACATGTATGGCATTGTTTTACAAAAATGCAATCATACTAAGGACACTATTTTGCAAGTCCTCCCAAACAATAATCGGAGGCATTCAGGCACATAAACTTGTTCGGCCAAATATTATCAAACCACTTTTTTGCTTGAGAAAAGCATATCAGAAGCTTAATATAAACTATGGCCATAATTATATGATATAGAAATCAGTAGTCATTTGCATAGACAAATCTGGCTCTTCTGAATAACGGAAATTTTCACATCCACCATTAACCAAACACTAGAGCTGTAATTATTGCAGGCAAGGTCCACTGGTGCTAAAATTAGTGAGTAAAACTTTGAGGGGAAACAAGATATTTGGCACAGTCTCAAAGTATCATTCTTGAAACATTTCTTAATCACACTATAACTTTACAGTGAAGAAACCCAGCAGACGCTACCTTAACGCTGCTCAAGTTCAACGTCACCAGTGTGACAGCTTGCCCACGTCACACACCCGACACCATGCACTGCAAAGGGTAGCCTACGGCTGCAGGATTCTTTCCAAAATGCTTAGCTTCATGAGAAAACATCAGATAACAGCAAACTGAGGTCTATTCTACAAAATACCTGGCCAGCACTCTTCAGAAGTGTCAGATCACTAGAGACAAAGAAAAACTGCAGAACGATGACAGTCTGGAAAGGATTACACAAACACGACAGCTACAGACGACGTGGAACCCTGGACGGGACCCCACAACAAAGAAAGGACAAAAATCAGGAAATCTGAATGAAGACTGCCGTTCGACTAATTTTAAAAAGAAAAAGGAAAAAAACACCTTTTCTTTTCCTGAGAGACAGGGTCCCGCTCTGTCGCCCAGGCTGGAGTGCAGTGGCACAATCATAGCTCACCGCGGCCTTCACTTCCTGGGCTCAAGCAATCCTCCTGCCTCAGCCTCCCAAGTCACTGAGACTACAGACATACTACCACACCCAGCTAATTTTTTCATTTCTGGTTAGGGACAGGGCCTTTTTATGTTACCCAGGCTGATCTCAAATTCCTGGGTTCAAGCAATCCTCCTGCCTCAGCCTCCCAAAGTGCTGGACGTACGGGTGTGAGCCACTGCGAGGGGCAGCTATTTAAAGTCAGCAAATTTGGCCAGGCGCAGTGGTTCACACCTGAAAACCCAGCCAAGGCAGATGGATCACCTGAGCTCAGAAGTTTGAGACCAGCTTGGGCAACATGGTGAAACTCCGTCTTTACAAAAAACACAAACAATTAGCCAGTTGTGGTGCTGTGTGGCTGTGGTCTCGGCGACTCAGGAGGATGAGGTGGGAGAATGGCTTGCACTTGAAAGGTGAAGGCTGCAGTGAGCCAAGATGGCGCCGCTGCCCTCCAGCCTGGGCAGGAAAGCCAGACCTTGTCTCAAAAACTAAAAATATGCAGTAAACAGACCAGAAGCAGAGCTTTCATTACTCTCTAGTCACTGTAAGTATAACTGCTTCAAAGCAGTAAACCCAACTAAGAGGGCTAAAAGCACACTTCACTGGTAGCTAAATGCAAAGTGGAGGCAAGCTTTTAAATCGGTGCCTCTTATCCTTAAATTGCACCGCAATAAACAATCTATTACTCCGAATCAAAGATGCACATGAGTCTGCACACATACACATACAAACATAAAATCTGAGCATGCTACGGATAACTATTTACCTAAAAAAATCTTGGAATTCCTCCTTTTTGGTAAAGCTCCACCAGACGCCCCTCTTACCTTCTGAAAAGGAAACAAAAGATCATTAAAATGCAGCCTATAAAATACACATATTTGTGGGGGAAAAGCACATCTCAGAGGTTCCTAGTTTTTATAGAAGGCCAAGAAGAAATATCCCCTCTAGATGAGCAATTCCAGGGTAAACAGGAACTGACCCAGGTCAATGCAGGTAGGTGAAGGGCAATGCTATCCTTCTGCTGATTTTTATCGAGTGATAAAGAAAGCACTTCTGGAAAGAGAAATGAAAACCGAGGATCAAGGTGAAATCGATGCTTAAACTTCAAATCAGCACCTGCTCCCAGGCGGGCAGGGGTCCAGACCTGATAATGAAAGACTCAGGAAAGATGACAGGGCTCCAGGAGGGGCGGGTCTTATTCTCCTGCTTACCCTGTGGGTCTCCAGTGCTTGGCACTGGGCATGCTGAACAACTGTTGTCAAATGGCTTAATAAATATCGATAGTCATTAACAGTCTGGTCATATGAAATCTCAATCTAACCTCCCTAAACATTTCCGGAGCACCCACAAGTGGCTATGTGCACCTTCCTAAGGAGGGTGTATTTTCTACCTGTGGTAGAAGTCATCAGTAGTAATGAAATAAAATGCCCATCAAGTGGTAATACAAAAGAGGCCATTCATCTGATGCTCACACGAAACATTTTCCTCTCAAATCAATTATGATACCAAACCCTATTCCAAGCAGCCACTGGTGCCGAGACCTCGCGGCCCCTCTTCTGCTTCTCAGTTTTCCTCTCGTGAGTTCTAAGTATCCTTTCTCACATTGTAATATTTGACTTTGAAGGCTGACCATCTTTGTGATTCTCACATTAAGTTTTGATGGCTTCTACTACAGGTTTACAGTTCACATCTTAGGAATCTGCATTATAGAACACTTTAGCCCAAAAACCCATCCCTCCAAATACTGATGTCAAATGCATTCCTCTTAGAATCCCTCCCCTATGATCTCAGAGGCTCTTTCCTCCCCTGTCCACTCACCTGCCTCAGAAGGGAATGAAATAAAACCTATTGCAAAGGCAACTTTAACAATCCTTGAGGTCCCTGAAATCCCGCTACAGAACTTTATTGTCTCGCTGCCCCTCCCTCCTGCAGGATGGCAGAGGGATTACGAAGAGGGGTTGCATGAAGGCTTGCTAGAACACGAGCCTGTCCCCGACTGTAAGATTCACGTCTTAGACTTGCAGAAAAGGAGAACTTCCTTCTAAAGACCACCACCTCTGCATCAGTCAGCAACCAGCATCAACAAGGTATGAGAAAACAAAACTCCTCCATCAGCAAATACGGCTGTGCCCATGCGTCAGGTTCTATGCTAGAGCTCAGGCTGCCAACTGAATGAAGACAGGATCCATCTTTTAAGGAGCTAGCCCACACAGTAGGGGAGCATATACATAAACAAATGGCACCAACGATTCTGGCAAGTGCTAAGAAAGACTGGAAGAAGGCACAATCACATCATAAGGAGCAAACAATCAGTTCATCTGGGGATAAGGGCGTGGGCAGGGTTGCTCAGGTAAGAACAGCAGCTACTGAGTAAATATTTGTTGGATGGATGGATGGATGGGTGGGTGGGTGGATAGATGGGAGGGTGGATGAGTGGGTGGATGGATGGATGGGTGGATGGGTGAGTGGATAGATGGGAGGGTGGGTGGGTGGGGGGTGGGTGGACAGACAGATGGATGGATGAAAGGTGGGTGGACTGATGGATGGATGGATGGATGGGTGGGTGGATAGGTGGGTGGGTGGATGGATGGGTGGATGGGTAGGTAGGTGCGTAGGTGGGTGGGTGGGTAGACGGATGGATGGGTGGATGGGTGGGTGGACGGATGGGAGGGTGGATGGGTGGGTAGGTGGGTAGGTGGGTTGGTGGGTGGATGGATGGATGGGTGGATGGGTGAGTGGATAGATGGGAGGGTGGGTGGGTGGGTGGTGGGTGGACAGACAGATGGATGGATGAAAGGTGGGTGGACTGACGGATGGACGGATGGATGGATGGGTGGATGGGTGGGTGGATGGATGGATGGGTGGATGGGTGGATGGATGGATGGGAGGATGGATGGGTGGGTGGATGGATGGATGGGTGGATGGGTGAGTGGATAGATGGGAGGGTGGGTGGGTGGGAGGTGGGTGGACAGACAGACAGATGGATGGATGAAAGGTGGATGGACTGACGGATGGATGGATGGATGAAAGGTGGGTGGACTGACGGATGGATGGATGGGTGGATGGGTGGGTAGGTGGATGGATGGATAGGTGGATAGGTGAGTGGATAGATGGGAGGGTGGGTGGACAGACAGACGGATGGATGAAAGGTGGGTGTACTGACGGATGGATGGATGGGTGGGTGGATAGGTGGGTGGGGGGATGGATGGGTATCCTGACTACAGGAAGTACAACAGGTAAAAGGGGAGTGGGGATAGAAGACATCCTAGACAGAGAAAACAGTGTATACAAAAGCACAAAATCACAGTGTGCTCCAGAAAGGAGAAGCGGTTTGCTATTTCCGAAGCACAAACTTGGTGGATTAAGAGTGAGGGTTAGAAAGGCTGCAGGCTCCAAATCATGAGCACCTTACAATCACATGCACAAGAGTTTGGACTTCATCCTGTAGAACAGGAAGAAGCATCAGAGATGTAAGTGTCAGTGTGACATAGATGCATACATTTGGAAAGACGGCTCTGGGAGCAGTGTGCAGACCAGGTGGGAGTGAAGGCAGCAAATCTGAAGGAAGAAAGGTCAGTCAGGAAGCGACAGCACGAGTCCTTTCAAGGATAATGAGCACACAGACCTCAGACAGGAACAGCGGGAATGGAGAAGACAGGGTGGACCTCAGAGCTGTTCGGGAAGCCCAAATAACAAGCTCCCTGGTAAGACACAGAGGGAAGCAGAACCAAAGAACATCCAGCTCTCTAGAACTCAGAGGAAGGAAATCTGTGAGCAAGAGAACACTGTGTTCAGTCTGGGCACACTGACCTTTAAGTACGTATGAAATGCTGGAGCAGAAAAATCCAGACCAGAATAAGATGATCAGGTCCTCAACTCCAAGGAGATATTAATTTAAATGTCATTCGCTTAGAAAAAAGTGGTTAAACAAACATGTGGATAACCCTGATGAAGAAACGCATCTTTCTGAGGAAGAAGACAGGATCGGCAAACAGCATCCTAGGAAATGCGATAACTAAGAGGTAAACAAAGGAAGAGATGCTGGTGGAAGAAACTGGGAAAGGACAGGAGGAAAGCCAAGAGAGAATGGTGTCAAGGCAGGAGAGGCACAGGTCCGAAGGAAACAAGCTCAGAGATGCGAACACTCAAAAAGTCAAGTAACGTTGCAGCCAAAACATAGCCGCCAAGCACGACAGCTAAGATATCACTGACCACGTGGGCAGTGTTGGTGGGTTACCAAGTTCAGACTGCAGTGTGGAGTCTCAGTGGCAGATTAGTACAGATAAGATCAGAAAAGCTTTTAAAGAAGCTTCAAATGAAAGAGTCCAGTGACTGAAGAAGGACACAAATTAGAAAGATGGTTTTGTGGTTTGTTTGGTTTTTTTTTAAGAGACAGACTCTCAGCCAGACAGGGTGGCTCATGCCTGTAATCCCAGCACTTTGGGAGGCCAGCGCGGGCAGATCATGAGGTCAGGAGTTCGAGATAAGCCTGACCAACATGATGAAACCCCATCTCTACTAAAAATGCAAAAATCAGCCAACGGTGGTGGCACGCGCCTGTAACACCAGCTACTCGGGAGGCTGAGGCAGGAGAACTGCCTGAACCTGGGAGGCAGAGAGGCTGCAGTGAACCAAGATCGTGCCACTGCACTCCATGCCTGGGCAACAGAGTGAGATTCCATCTCAAAACAAAGAAAAAAGAAAAGGAGACAGAGTCTTGCTCTGTGGCCCAGGTGTAGAGTGGCCTGATAACAGCTCACTCTGTAACCTGAAATTCCTGGGCTCAAGTGACCCTCCTGCCTCAGCCTCCCGAGTAGCTGGGACTAAGGCATGGCCACCATTCCAGGCTAATTATTTTATTTTTTGTCAAGACAGGGGTCTCACTATGTTGCCCAGGGTGGTCTCCTGTCCTCAAGCCAGCCTCCCACCTTGGCCTCCCAAAGCACTGGGATTACAGGTGTGAGCCACTGAGCCCAGCCAGGTGTGTTCTTTTTAAGGTGAGAGAAAATTAGCCAGAAGAGGGAGAAGCTGGAGACAGAGGAAGTGGAGTTAATGAAGGAGCAAGTTTCCCGAGGTGGGGAAACAGGACTCTGAGGACAGACAGAACTTCGCTTTCGGCTGAGATGGAATCAAAAGTGGAACCAGATGCAGGTGCTCCCAGGACAGTGGAATAAGTTAGGGAGCTCCTGTCCAGGGATTCCCTTTTCTCCCGCAAAGCACAAATCAAGGTACTTTTCTGAGAACGATGAGGGATGCACAGAAAAGGCTTAAGGAAAGCATCCGAAGGTGAGAATGGCCGCTCCTGGGAGTGGGGCAGGATGCAGACGAGAAGGCTTGCCGGGCAGAGAGGGCATGATGGAAGAGGAAGGCCGGACGTGGGCATGGTCTCCAGCCCACCACGGCGTGGGGTTTCCAGCAGTCCGCGCATGGAAGTGGACGGTGATGTGACGGAGCTCTGGAGGACGGCTAGGGAGCGAGGCAAGGGGGTCAGAGTCAGCTCAGGTGGGGCGGGCACAGACGCTGGAAGAACAGCCGTGAGAGGCAGGCTAAACAAGTCATGGGCTAAACCCACAACAAATGATCAAAACAGGAATAAATGAGTGGAGGTTGCAGTCAGAGGGTGCAACACTGAACTTGAAATTCCAGAGCCAGGGCTGACTGTTCACATTTACCAGCATTCCACAGTTCCGCTGCTGACTTTGTGACCCTGCGCAAGTTATTCAGTCTCTGGGCCTCCGTTTCTTTTTTTTTTTTTTTTTTTTTGAGCTTCCTAAATTTCATCACTTTCTATTTAGTCATACAAAACAGACTTCACAAGAATTATGACGTACAACCTAACAGAATCAGTGAATGCAAATCATTCAGTAGCAAGTCAACATTAAATTACTGTGAAGCTAATCATTGCATTTGTGCCTTATCTGACTTTGTGGCCTTTCTTCCTTCTCTTCCTCCTGCCCGCCCCATCGTCCAATTTTGAGATCTCTTCTTTGTTAGGAACTTAAACAGAGACTATATTACGAAGGCTAAGGTGAGAAATTAGAGAAACTGCAAATCAGCATTGATCACTGAGGAGATCCAAAATAGTGTACAAACTATCAGAACTAACGTAAACGTTGAACAGCATTGCTAAATATAAAATCAACATCTCTTAATTAACAATATCTCCAAATACCATCAACAACCAGTTAATGTGTAAAAAATAAAGGATGATAGCAGTCATTGTAAAAATATATCTATTTTTTCACTATTCATATAGTAGTACAACCTTTCCCAGTGATTTACAGTATCACCCTTTACACACACACACATTTTATATGTGAGTTCCTTTATAGAAAATTACAAAAATTACTGAATGACAAAAAGGAAATGTGAATAAAGAGGTGTCTATGTTAAATACTTAATAAATATTTATAAAGCACATACTATATGATAAGCACTGCTAAGTGCTAAGGACACAGCAGTGACTAAAACCAAAGTCCGTGCCCTCATCGAGTTTACACAAGGATGTGGATTATAGGTCAATCTATAAATTCAATGTGATGGTCATCACAGTCTCAATAGGATTTTTTAAACTAGATGAACTAATTCCATAATCCATATAGAAAAATAAATGTCTAAAAATACCCAGGAAAATTGTGGAAAAATAAATATGGATTCAACCATAGAATCAGAAAAAGAAAGAAAAATAAATAAGCATGGAAAAATTGCTTGCACTAGCAGATAGCAAGGCTTGCCGTACCAATGCAGAGACACACAAATTAGATCAATAGAACACTGAGAGACCCACAAGGGACCCAAATGTGAGCAAGTTAAAATATAAAAAGGGTAGCCAGGTGCAGTGGCTCCCACCTGTAACCCTGGCACTCTGGGAAGCTGGTGGATTGCTTAGGCCCATGAGCTCAAGGCTAGGCAACATGGTTACCTGGAAAAATGGCAAAACCCCTCTCTACAAAAAACGCAGAAATCAGCCAGATGTGGTGACACACGTCTGTGGCCCCAGCTACTTGGGAGCTGAGGTGGGAGGATCGCTTGAGCCCAGGAGGCTGCGGCTGCAATGAGCCATGGCGGTGCCACTGCACTGCGGCCTGGGAGACAGCGGGAGGCCATGTCTCAAAAAACAAGCAAAATGTGCGTGTGTGCGTGTGTGCGTGTGTGTGCACGCGTGTTGTGTGCACGTGCGTAGGGGGGTGAGCACGTGCGCGTGGGGTGTGTGTGCGTGCGTGTGTGGGGGTGTGTGTGCGTGCGTGCGTGGGGGTGTGTGCGCGTACATGCGTAGGGATGTGTGCGCGTGCATGGGGGTGTGTGTGCACGCATGCATGGGGGCATGTGTGTGCGTGTGTCTGCGCACGTGTTGTGTGCACGTGCGTGGGGATGTGTGCGCGCACGCGGGTGTGTGTGCGCGTGCGTGGGGGGTGTGTGTGTGCGCGTGCATGGGGGGTGTGTGCGCGCATGTTGTGTGTGCATGCGTGGGTGTGTGTGTGTGTGCGCGCGTGCGTGGGGGGGGTGTGTGCGCGTGCGTGGGGGTGTGTGTGTGCGCGCATGCGTGGGGGGTGTGCACGTGCATGGGGGTGTGTGTGCGCGCGTTGTGTGCGCGTGCGCACGTGCCTGGGGGTGTGTGTGCGCATGTGTGTGTGTGCACGTGCGTGGGGGTGTGTGCGCGCGGGGGTGTGTGCGCGTGCGTGTGCGCGTGCGTGGGGTGTGTGTGTGTGCACGTGCGTGGGTGGTGTGTGCGCGCGCGTGCCTGGTTGTGTGTGTGTGTGCGCGCGTACGTGCATAAAGGGTGATACTATAAATCACCGGGAAGGTTACACCACTCTATGAATAATGAAACTACTGGTTATCAATATGAAAAAAATAGATCCCCGTTCTTCACACAAATAAAAAAATAACCTATAGATGGATTAAAGACCTAAAATGTAAAAGATAGTCACATTCACACATCTTAAAAGAAATAAAATTTTTTTTTAACTACTATAAGAAACGTGGTATGGTCTGGCTGTGTCCCCACTCAAATCTCATCTTGAACTGTAACTCCCACAGTCCCCTGTGTCAACGGAGGATCCCGTGGGAGGTGATTAAAATATGGGGCAGGTCGTTTCCGCGCTGTTCTCGTGACAGTGAATGAGTCTCATGAGATCTAACGGTTTTAAAACAGGAATTTCCCTGACCAAGCTCTCTCTTTGCCTGCCCATCCACCTAAGATGTGACTTTCTCCTTTCTGCCTTCCACCATGATTGTGACAACTCCCCCCCAGTCACATGGAAATGTAAGTCTGTTAAGCCTCTTTCTTTTGTAAATTGCCCAGCCTGGAGTATGTCTTTATCAGCAACATGAAAACGGACTGGTACAAAATGTCTTTAAGACCTTGAAGTAGGAAACAATTTCTTAGGCAAGATATAAAAGCACAACTCATAAGACAAAAAGTTTAAAAAATCTAACTACTTCAAAACTTACAACTTCTATTCTACAAAATAATTCGTAAACAGAGTAAAACAACAAGCCACAGACTCAAAGGAAATTTAGTATGTAACAAAGGTTTGGTATCCCGAATGTAAAAATAACTCATCGCACTTATAAGAAAAAGATAAATCCATAAAGAAATAGGCCAAAAATATAAATAGGCAAATCCAAAAAGAAAAAAAACAGAACAGAAAGTACAAAGAAACGTGCCAAATATTTAGATGCCACTTCCTACTCATTAGACTGGCAAAAACAGAACTCTGACCAAGGGTTGGTGAGGGTGTGGGAAAGCGAGAAATCATCATTTCTGCAGATCAGAGTGTAAACAGGTGCGATCACTTCGGGGACAGGCTTGGCACTATCCAGTAAAACGTAACATGAGCATAACGCGAGCCTGCACTACCACTTCCAGACCTACTTCCTGAAGAAATCTGGCACATGCGCCCCTAGGAGAAGAATATAAAAGTGTTAACTGATGCATTCTTTGCAGTAGCAACAAATAGAAACATCAAGAGGAAAAGAGAATAAATTACAAGGCACAAAATGAAAAACCAAACAGCTATTAAAATGAATTAAATACATTCAGATGTATCTCAACATGGACAGATTCCAAAAGAAATGAATCTTCTGGATGCTGACGGGAAAAACTCTTCAAGAATTTAAGAGTACGATGCATTTATCTACGTCTCTAAAATATATAAAGTCATGCTATAGATTGTTCTTGAATAGACGTTTGTTAATAAAATATAATGGAATACATGATACAGAAAAAGTTCACAGCAGTGGTTACTTCTGGTGAGGGAAAGGGACAAAAGGAACTTGAATTTTTAAGGAAACTCTATTTCTTGTGCTAAAAAGCAAAACGAAACAAATCTGAAGCAAGAACATTCAGATGTTTTTATTTCTGATTTTTTGATCCATCAGTGTCTCCGTATTTTTCTGTATTTTTATACCTAGTTTTTTTTTTTCTTTTCCAATCAGTCAACCCATGTCTTCTTAAATACACCAATCAGAAGTTTAGAGGAAGGAAAATAAAGTTGGTTAAGATAAGGTCTGGGAGAATCTCTGGATCTGGAAACTGTGCTGCTTCTGTTTCTCATCATCAAGCAGAATGAGAAGTGATGTGGGCAGGGTAAATACCAGGCGGGAAAGCCAGTGCGACGGCGCCGGAGGCTCTCACCTCTCGCACGTGTCTTTTCAGGTGCATGTACACACTCTGTCCGGTTTTTCGAAAATGTCTTTCAACGTGTTCCCTTCCAAAGGCCAAAAATGTATTCATGCACACATAGAGTCCACCTTCAGAATTCTGGAAGAAAGAGAAAAAGTACATTAGCCAAGGACACCTAGCCAGGTAGTCAGACAGAGAAAGAGGGAGAGGGAAGGAAGGTCAGCATGGCAGGCAGGTGTGGCGAAGGGCCAGAGGGTGCAGTCACCATTAGTGAGCCTGCAGCAGCTCCACCGACACCCACAGCGGTGGCTTCGCCCCAGCCCCGGCTCCCAATGCTCCTGCACAGCCGAGCCATCGTTTCCCAAATGCCACCTATGTCCACAGTGAGGTGAGAGCCTCAGAGGCTCTAGAAATGAGCACACTTGTCTGACAACAGGGCAAAGGAAGAGAAAGACAGAGGAAAGTTGGCAGAAGTTTCACTGTAATAAACATCATAGTCCTTCCTCATTCATTGATGCGAGTCTCCAGTAACACAAAGTTTTTAGGTCCTTTTAGCAGGAAAGGGTTCTGCAAAGGTATTATTCCCTTCCTTTGGTGACACATGATATCGATAGCATTCGTGAATACATTATAATAATGTAATACATAAATACAGGTCAAACATCTCTAATCCAGAAGTCTGAAATGCTTCAGTCAGCATTTTTGTTAAAACCATCATGCCGATGTTCAAAAAGTTTCAGATTTTGGAGCATTTCAGATTTCAGATTTTCAGGTTAGGGATGCTGAACTAGTAACTATAATGCAAATATTCCAAGATCAAAAAAAATTAAAAATCTGAAACACTTCTAGTACCAAGCATTTCAGATGAGGGATACTCAATCTGTAATAACAGTAAGTACCTAATAAAGGCTCAAATCTTATAATGCATGTTATTGCATGTCTGATATGCTTCATGTGTACTCTTTCCTTCCCTCCCTCCCTCCCTTTCTTCCTTTCCTCCTTCCTTCTTTCTTTCTTTCTGTTTTTCTTCGGCATCTCACTCTGGTATCTGGAGGATAATGACAGGCTGGATCCCAGCTCACTGCAGCCTCAGTCTCCTGGGCTCAAGACTATCCCACCTCAGCTTCCCAAGTAGCTGGGACTATAGGCACATGCCACCATACCCAGATAATTTTTGTATCTCTTGTACAGATAGGGTTTTGCCATGTTGCTTAGGCTGGTCTCAAACTCCTGGGCTCAAGAATCCACCTACTTCAGCCTGCTAAAGTGTGGGAGACAGGTGTGGGCCACCATGTGCAGCCTAGGGAAATGTATACAATTTCTAATGCTAACCACTGCAAGCTGCTTAGTATTCTACTTTACAGTATCAAAAAATAAAAATAAAAAAAACTAAGGATAAGTCACTTGTCCAAGAGCACACAGCACGGACGTGCTAGAGTTAGCCTGAAGCTTTGAAGCTCCTTCTCCTTCTACTCCTCCACGCCACATTTCAACGGACATAATATTATTTAGTTAAAGACATACTGCTACAATGAACAGTCAAGGATACGTTTGAATTTTAGATACTTGATTTTCTATCTCAATTTCATTCCTCATTTTCTCTCACTTTGCTTAACGTGCTTTCCTGAAAACTTAGGCCACAAAACTAGCCATCCTTTCCGCCAAGAATGTGGGTTTTCACAAGCCATGGTTACTCTCACCCTCCAAATAACAAAAATAATAATAAATAATAAAATAATGTAAAACTAACTTTTGAACACCTGTCAAAATTGCCAACAAATACCTTACAAAATTCCTGACAGTGCATCCCAGTACAGCACAAAGCACAATCTCAAAATAGACATTGACGTTTATCAAAATATATTTGAAAATTGTTGAAAATTCCAATAATTTTGCTTAAAATTTGTTTAAATTCTAATAAAATTACTTAAAATTCTAATAACTGTTTGAAACTCCAATACAGATTGTTAATTTAAGCGATTTTCTAATAATAAAATTCTCCAACATTGTATCTAGAACTTCTAAGTGAGGCTACAGAGTCCTCTCACTGTGCAAACACTCAGCAGCATTAACTCAAGTCTACCTCAGCATTAACTCAAGCCTCTTACAGTAGCACATACATTGCAGTAAGCAAACTAACTAGCTAAATAAGTGGTACAAAGATCACAAACAAAGAAGGAGAATAAAATGGTCTCTATTTGCTCATGACAATACAGTCCATATGGAAAAATTCTAAGGAATCTACAAAGCTACAAACTAGTGAAAATAACAACTAGTAAGAGCAGTGAGTGAATTTAGCAAGATCACAGGATACAAGTTACTAGACCAAAGTCAACTGCAATTTTATGTATCAGCAACAAACACTTGCAAATGACATTTTTAAAGCTCAACTTCAAAATAGCATCCAAATCCCAGCACTGTGGGAGGCTGAGGCAGGCAGATTGTTTGAGCCCAGAAGTTGAAGACCAGTCTGGGCAACATGGAGAAACCCTGTCTCTACAAAAAAAAAAAGAAAAAGAAAAAAATGGCAAAAATTAGCCAGACTGTAGTCCCAGCTACTCGGGAGGCTGAGGTAGGAGAATCGCGTTAGCCCAGGGAGGTCAAGGCTGCCATGAGCCATGATTGTGCCACTGTACTTCAGCCTGGGTGACAGAAAGAGACCCTGTCTCAAAAAAACAATAGCATCCCAAAAAGCTTATAATTATAATATAGCATGTGCTTCTGGATAACTTTTCTACCTTTACATGAAACCATTTAAATAAAGTTAGAAAAGTTCTTCGACTAGAGACAACATGTTACATTCATTTAATCAACAGATTAGGTAAGCATTTTCAAAAGTTTTCCAAATAAACGTGTTCTTTGGATAGATAGACCTCTTAAGAAAAACAGATTGCATCACTACAATAGTCAATTGTTCATTAAATCCATTAAATTAGGCATCGTATATTGTAATTTTTTTTTAAAGTTCCATTCTCTTCCAATAAAATGTAATTCAGTCAATGGATTCAAACCAGAAGATTTACTGGGGAAAATATGGGATTTGTAATACAGGTCTTGCACTGCCACCAGCTGGCCGCTGGCCTAAGGCAGGCAGCCATATGGGGCTCTGAGCTCCAATGCTCTCCTCTATAAACATGGCTGTAGCAATCATGTCCCACCACACAGGGTTGCATGAAATTTACAGGGAATGAAATATATCAAAGTGCTTGCTGTGCTATATGGCAACACACAAATGTTGCTTATTCTGTATTATGGGATAATTATCATTATCTCATGATCTGAATCATTTTATAAGTGTGGAAAACAAGCAGAAGGAAGAATAAACGAGTCTGACAGCCACACAGGCTGGGGGTAACAAATATTAACCTGTCAGAAAAAAATGCTAGGCTTCTCACTGTAAGATTAAAAAAAAAAAAAAGAAAAAGAAAAAGAAAAAGAAAAGAAAAAAAAACACTAGGCTTCTCACTATAAGATTAAAAAAAAAAAAAAACAACTCACTA